ATACAAATTTATATTTGAAGCATAAATTGTGGCCAAATAAACTATAGGCTGTACACCATAAACATTTGTTTTACAACCAAATAAAAATAAAGTATAAAAAAATACTTTTATGTGCGGGAAAATATTAACATTTTTGTTTTTAATGTGTCTCGAGTCTTCTTAATAAATTATTGATAACCAAACATAAAAAACATCGGGTTTAGAACCCAATTCGAAATCAAATATCCCGCGGATATATGACCGAAGCCAGAGGAAAAAGCTAACAAATATAGTATAACAGTTATATTTATAATTAATATATTGCTTTGACCCTACATCCTATAGGCAAATTAATTCAGAACCATTCATTTCATATTACATTTATATGGAATAATTCAGAGATGAAACCTCTCATCATTCAATGTATTCACCGTGCGGGTGCCAGTTCTATCGTTGTAGTGAGAGGAGCTTCAACAGTGCCTGGGACTTATAACACAGGTGTAGGTTTAAGGAACCCCTATCTAAGGCGCGTTGCACGCTTACTTCCACCGTCTAAGCTCCTCTCTCTACCAAATTTGAAACGAATCTACTAGGGCTATCTTCCAAGAAAGTTCTAAACTATACGTAAAACGATCAATCTCGAAAAACTTCGAGCTTCGTGTCTATTGAACACATGATGACGTCACATATGACTCACGAATAATTTGATAACATGGCGTCCTAAAATTGAGTGCAATATTAGTAATGAATGACAATTGATAACATACATTGTAACAAAAGTAAAGTATTATAATAAGTTTCAAGATTACAATTTTATCTTATATGTCACTCATTATAAAATTTAAAAAAACAGTCACAGATTATTACCTTTTTTTAATTCTCAAGCATCATCTATATAATCTGATTGCATTTGGTTATTAAATAAATGTTTGTGAAAGAAAAATCTTGTTAAGTTCATAATAAACGTAAAAATTGAAATTACTTGCATTTACTAAACATAGATATTAAAATACTGCACTTTTATTTATTTGATATATTTGATAAAAGGATTTTTTATTCAAATATTTGATGTAATTTAATGTAATTGTTCGGTTATATCGCGTTTCCAAGAGAATCTTTCAAACGTCTGGGATAAAAACTATCCTATGTTCTTTCTCAAGGTCAACTCTATCAATCAATCAATTTTACAGAGGTAAAATTTCATTAAAATCAGTTCAGTGGTTTAGGCCTAAAAGTGTTACAGACAGACAGAGTTACTTTCGCATTTATAATATTAGTAGGGATTTATGACACAATTTAATTATTCAAGTATTCTATCTAAAACAATTCTAACTTGGCTATAAACAAAACAAAACAACTACCCGAAATGTTAAGGATAAAATCTAATTCCACAACTTATTTTCATTTAAAAAACAATCAGTTGAAAATTAAGTCAGAAGACAAAAAAAACTAATTCTACTGAATCACCAAGATATTTTAGAATACAAATTATACATACATTTTATACAAATATACTCACACAGGTAATTCTTTCTCCGTCAATGTATTCAACTCTGCGAGCGTGTAATGTTTTAAAGCATCATCGTAGGCACCACATGCGTAATTCAACTTTCCGAGTAGTAAATGTGCATCTAACGCCACACCGGCTTTCTTGCCGGCCTCATCAGTGGCTAAGGTCAAGTAGCCTCTCGCATCTGATAATTCCCGTTGAGCTCGTTCAATATTCTCCTTAGTTGGAGGACATTCATCCAGAAAGGATTCCAATTTGCCTTCACCGATAAGGAAATGTGCGAGACTCTCTGAAATGGCAAAATAATATTATAAAATGAGTATTGGTTAAATATATTAAATTAACTTACTAAGAGATTAATTGTATGAAAAAACAATTTTTTTGTAGCTAATTATTGTTATGGCATATTTAATAACAAACGGAACTAGTTGTTTGATATAGATATATTACAAGGAAAAATAGAAATATATGAATTTATAAGGAGTGTGAAATATATATATTGTTGTAGAAAGAATTTTGAAACATACACAGAAATCTAGTAGTGAGTCATTGGGGTAAAGATATGTATAATAAGACAGAAACATTTTAAATTTAAACTTGTATAAAAGTAACTTCTATAATGTGGTTGTGTTTACTTATTTAAAATAATGTACATGCTTATGTAATAACTTTGAAATTATCAGAATATTGTTAATACATAAATAAATTCATGACTAATAAGTGATATGCAGACATGAATTTGCTGTTTCTGTATGAAAAATTTAAATTAGTACTATTCTTGATGTTTTTATGTTAGATCATAAATTTACTAGTTTTCAAGGTAACATAAACATCCAAGGAATCTCTTTGAAATTTATACAATACATAAGCTTCTAGTGGAAACATTATTTCCTACTAATAAGAGTTTAATTTATTAAATCACAACATGGTTAACATTCAATAGCTTTGTATATAAAAATCATTACTTAATGGTAATTTAGCATAAGTTAATGAAAATTTACAGTAATCACCTTTTAAAGTTATAGAAGATGTTATAAAGCATATGAATATCATAAAGATAAAATACCGATGACTTTGTGTTATTCAAAATATATTTATTGATATTGAAATAGGAGAGATAAAATGATGTCCCTGTAGTATTATATAAATATATAATTTTATTACAACTAGATATGGTTATAGTGAACACTTTTTGTGATTACTCACCATGTTGAGGTGACCTGGCCTTCAACTGCTGAGCCAGGTCCACAACTTTCTTCCAGTTGGACTCCTCACGATTCTTTTCGATCTCTGCCTCGTAACTCCGCACGGCATTCTTGCTTCTCGAGGTCATTTTAATGAGGACACCATTCAGTTGTTTTACAGCATCGATTTCATGTGTATCACTTCACTCAGACATTGCAAAACCCTCACAAATTGCGAGAAGCTCCAATAATTGAAGGCCAAATTTGACATATGATGACATCGGGTGTGTATTATCTACGGAACGTTCCTTTCCACCAAATTATACGTCAGTTCTCATTCAACATTCAAGAGGAACAAAAAATTTTATTATTATTAATTTCAAAACTATTTCGAAAATTTTAACTATTACTATTTAAGAGAGTGGTTAAATACTGATCTGACATATTAACTAAAAATAATTTAAATAAACTTTTAAATTGTTTGTCAATAGATGGAGCTAGCGGTACTTTGTTGCATGCTAATTAAATGGAATCTTTTATACTTTAATCGAGTTACGTCGCCTGGTTTACATTTCTTTCATCAATATTTATATTTCGGGTACATCAGTTATAAGCTCTTTGGCTGTGATTCCTATTATGCTCAACACAAGACTAAAAAATATTACGTGACATGTACTTAATTCATTTTACAGTTTCATATTAAAACTTTTTTCGTTTTTGTTTCCCTAAATTATAAAATACCTAATATTTTCAGTTCGTAATAATGAACGAATAAATGAAAGAACTCATAATATAAAAATTTAATCAACGCGTTAAGTGGATCCTATTTCACCAATTAAATTCAAAAAATATAAAATTAAAAGCTTTTATAGAGATATTCTCTTTATCCCTTCCCATAAGTTAAAATCACTGTAAAAGGATGGATATGACTTAATTTTTTTCTGTAATATAGTTACTATAAATTTGTGAAACTTCGTAAGGCAATATATTTCATTAATAGTCACAAGAAAACCGCACCTAATAACGTATGTCGGGTGAGTGCATTATGAGAATCTCTTCAATATTATTATTAAAGTAAACATCAACAGATAAAAACGGATACGGAACGTAATATGACAATGACAAAAAAGTGTAAAATTAATTAAAATAGTAGCGTTGAATACAACTGCTTCAAAATAATGAGCACACCATTGATGCTTTGTGTTACATTTCGTGTACGAGTACGTACGCTTCTTTATGAGGGTTAGTGAAATGCAATTTTTTCGTTATTTACCTACTCTATATATAGTTCCAGGTTTCATAAAACATGATGTTTAATAAGTATATATCTTTAAGCTGATAAAAGTTAAAACTTTTCTGTGTTCTTCGTATGGAGTTTTCTTCGGTATAAAACCATATGCACGTGACGTTTGTTTGTTAAAAATTTATTTCATATTTCTTTGGAGATATACGTGTGTAGGTGTTTTGATAAATAATACATTTTGTCTTCTTATATCCTTTCATTACAATCACCAGCAAATATACCAAATATACACCAAAGTAAATAAGGTTCTTATGATTATCTGTAACTCAAAATTAGTCTAGAATGAATTTTATACGAAAATTATCTTTGATCATTTCCCTTTCAATGTTCAGGAAATGTTTTCCAAACAATCAAAGGTTATCAAATATCAACATAAACACAATCATTTGAATGCGGGTTTCTTTAAAAGTCTATAAATATAATGTCAAGGACGCGTAATATTAAAGTCGAATAAAACAATCAAATATTTCCTGAAACAAAGACATCGGTGACGAGCGGCGCCGTCCGCGCCCTCGCCGACTGACACAGCTATGACCTTACACAGTATCTTGTATTTGCAACTGACTGTAAATTGTAAGGATAATTGATATCTTTGTTGATAAAATACTCAACATTTCTTACACTAAATGAAACTAAACCCGTGATCACGGTTGCTGTAAAGTAAACGAAACGTCGGGTGTATGTAGTTTATAATCAATGAATACTCGCGAGTCGCGAATATCTTAGATCTCATTATATCTTACACTAACTATGTGTATGCTTTATATAAAGATATTCAGAATTTCTTTTAAATTATACTTATATTTTTTCGGATATACTACGCGGTTTATTTTTGTTAAAAACCACTACATACAACAGTTATCAAAGCAGCTGAAACGTCGGAGGTTGTAGCTTTTCACAAAATTAAATCGCGTAGTATGTCCGAATAAATATTAGTTTCATTTAAATGAATACAACTCGCGAAAGTCTTAGATCTCTTCATCATTTCTATTCTTTGCAAGACCAAAAAGTATTATTAATGAATGTGTTCGAACTCAAATGATTATGTGGTTCAATTCGTCTTTAGCTGTTACTCCTAATGGCTTTGACAGCGTCATCATGATGAAGTAATGATTTCGTGATTTTGATTGGTTCCTATCCATTTTAACCCTACTTTTGTTGACCTAAAGAAAGGTTTTTTTTTTGGAAAAATGTTCTAATGAAATCGATACTGAGCAAAATAAAATAATATGGTTAATATCCTTAAAAAAAGGTGAAGAAATAAGTAAAAATGATTGCAAAGTCATAGTCCTTACATTTGAATAAAACGGCGTATTAATGCTAATATTCATAAAAATAAACATTTAAATCTCTCCAAGTCTGACTAGGTACATAATAACCGTTTTTTTTATGTCTGGAAACAAACATGTCGCCTGAATGCAGACCTAATCCGGCGCGTGTTTGCGTGACTTGGGGACAATAAAAATATGTTTTGTATGACTTTCTTTGGAAAACCCAACACATTGTTTGGGTTAAGTCTCTCATTATTACCATGAATGAAACATGTTATGAAATTCCCCGTGGATTTATTGCAGTATTTTTAAATAAAAATCCGTAATTATAGGTATTTTTTACCTTATTTTCATAAATCTGCAATAATTGTATACTCTTTAATAACAATATACGCAGTACCGATAGAAATACAAGATTGGCGTAATCGTTATATGCTTTAAATAGAAGCAAAAACTGTAGATAATTAATTCATTATATTAAAAATACATAATAGTTTATTTAATCATAATTTTATCAATGTAAAAGAAAAAAAAATTAAAAGATAATAATATTTATCAATAGCAACCTCTTTAATAAGATGTTAAAAAATACATACAATTGCGAACGTCGTTTTTCAAAGTCTTTTTATATCTAAGTCTTAACCGAAGCCACAATATTTCAAATGTAAATTTATTTTCCATCAGGGAAGGGAGCGAGTCAATAAAAATAAACGCTATAAACATTTCCCTGTTCAATTGGAACCGTTTAATTTACATTACGACGGAGCGAAGCCGTTGACGTGTTTGTAACAACTGGCTCTAGTTAGATGGCTTCTTATATTTATTATGACCTTAATAATCACGTTTTAATATGATTAACATTGAATATATACATTTTAATATAAATATGAGACGTAATTATATATATTTAAAAGAATATCTTAATGAGAACTATGATTTTCGCGAGTCATTTAAATGAAACTAATATTTTTCGGATTATATTCGAGTTTATTTTTGTAAGAAACTACATACTCCCGACGTGACGCTACTTTGCTTTAGAAAATATCTTATTTGAAATTTTCTGAGTGGGTTTGTTCGTATATATATGTATATATATATACATGAGAACAAAGTTTCAATGTCACAGTGTCGACCAAACTTGCAGTCCGCACTGCGCATATACTGTAAGCTGATTATGAAGTGCCGTCATGCGACAGGGGACTTGTTTATTTTAATATATTATAACATATATGTATAATATATATAATAAAAATTTAGCAGAAAGAATAATTTCAAGTAAATTAAATGAATATGCAATTCATTCTCTTGAGAATACGATTAAAATTTGTATTGTAACAATGATTTTTTAATCAATTTTTCCTTACATATGTGTATATTGTACGAGAATATTTCAAATAATTTATCTTTATTTATATTCTTAATGCATACAACTAATTTCGTAGTTCAAAGATCATCCCAGTTCACATATATAACGTGATTGATTGTATGTCTAACAGATACCAATAAAATGTTCATTGCGCAGGCTGTTAGCGATCAATGAGGAGGAGTGCATGAATCGAAACAGCGCATATGCGTGCTGAATGACGCACTCGGTCAATGTCGGGTCAACCTCCCCGCGCCAACACCCCCCGGCCTCCTCTCAGTCACCTACAGATGAAACCATTGCGGACGAATATTAACTTAAAATCATTGCACCAACCAAATTTTTAGTACCAATACTTTATTATTTTAACGCCTTTCATACCACAGTGTATATAAATAAATAATTATATCAGTAGCTTCATATACATTTTTCATACTTAATACTGGATAAACGAGTATATGTATACCTATTTATTATAGACTATAATTGTAATCAAATGCAGTGCCCTGTTCATGTAATAATTTGTCTTGAGACGTCTGTAATGTAACAAAGAGCTATTGATCCGAGCTACTTGCACCTCACCTGTACACACTGAAATTACATTCATATTATATATCTTCTAACAGAACACATAGATTCTCTCTGAATATAAAGGCATTTATTTAGTTAGGCTTTATCCTATACACACGAAATAAGCTGTAATAAAACAATGATTTTAGTATGAAATCATTAGTAATGTATTGAATTTTAAAGAAAACTAATTTCTTTATAAACAGCTTATACAATATATTTTAAAAGTTCTAACAATCTTTAAGAATATGAAAGATAAATTTAAATTTTCACCTGACATTAATGTAATATTTGTCGGTAAAGAACATCAGCTAATTATTTGACTTTGTAATGAGTTTCCTAAGCCTTTACTTTATGGGGGCGATAAGATTTTAATTTAAAATCAACCATGGACTTAACTGTATAAAAATATTTAAAATTAATTTTAAATTCTAAACAGCGTTCCGTCGAAACTAGCTATCATGTAACTACAACGATTTTGTATGCAATAAATTATTTTGATTATCAAGAAAATATATGTCTTCTTGATTTCTTTGTAAAATATTTTAGATATATTATTATTTATTCAGAGCGTGCTCACTGCTCACTGCTCGTGCATGCAATTTCGTAAGTTATGTGACTTTAATATTCATAAATATTTCT